GAAAGAAGTGGGCAAGTGATATGATGACCAAGCCTCTGTATTGTTCTCAGACGAATCCAGATTCGCTCAATTTTCTGATAGTGAAAGGATATGGTTCTGGAGAATGCCTCACCAAGAGTTTTGGCTCAACAGATTGCAGCCAACTGTGAAGCATGGTGGTTTCAGCGTGATGGTTTGGGGAGCTGTTTGGGTTGGTAGGAGATCGAGCTTAGTGGAGTGCAATGGCAACATAAATTTTGCGAAATACGTCGAAATATTGGAGGAATGACTCTTGCCACTTTATTCCTCGGGTTTCGTGGACAAGAACACAACGTTGTTCCAGGAAGATGGAGCACCATGTCACACTGCTAGAAACAGCCAAAAGTGGCAGGAAGAAAATGGTATCCAGAAGTTGCCCTGGCCGAGCCAATCTCCTGACATGAACCCCATCGAAAACCTCTGGGCCATACTCGACCGGCAAGTCAAGAAACAACAAAATAAAAAACCAACTTCGAAGAGCGATATAGTCCAAGTTTTAAAGCAAGAGTGGGCGAAAATCCCACAATCTAAAATTGACGAGATTTTGGCTCCATAGAATTCCACTGATGGTAGTCGGGAAAATGATTATGTTGGCTTTTCGAATTCCCACTTGTCATTTGTAACTCGCTAGACTTAGGCCTAACTGGGAGGACTCTTCCTTGTTGATAGTCGTTTTCCTTGGTAAATACAAGGTCCGTACCTACTGTCTCAATGTTATCATGTTCCTGAACTTGACCTTCACTACCTTTTTCTTGATACTCCCGAGAGTACACACTTTGAGAGTCCAAATCCCCATCATTACAAAAGGATGTCTCAAGGTACTGATGGGGAATACTTTCTCCAATCTGTTTTGTGAAATACTGTTGGAACGGCTTTTCACAGTTCGATTGGATATTGTTTTTAGGTATAATAGGCTGTAGTGATTCAGGCATAGTATTTGACGAAACTTTAGACGACTTCTGCTCAAAAGTTGTTTCAAGTGAGGACTCACTACCAGAAATTTTGTCTCTTTGCGAAAATATTGTTGAAACATCTCGATTGTTGAATAAGTTCTTCTTATTCTCTAAGCTGCCATAAGAACTGTGGGTCTTCTCTACAGATTAAATTGAAAAATGCAAACTATAGGTGAAAAGCTGATAACCACAATTTGCTTCAATACAATGTTTTATTATTTCTTGTTCTTAATTTATCAGTAGTAAAGTATACGATTATATTATATATACAACGTGGTCACAAGTAAATAGACACCACCTTTTCAGAAAAAAATAAAATTTTCAGTCATATTCTCATAAATTAATATATTTATAATTTAATTAATATCTAGTAGATCTTCCTTTCGCTTCGTGGAGTTCGTTGATCCTTTGGGGCATCGTGAGAATTCCGTTTTAGCTGTAGTTTTCTCTTCCATCTTTGAGTTGGACAGGGTAGTTGAACTTTGTGGTTTGATGCTCTTTACTTTCTCTCCAGGCAGTCCGCGGAAAGCTTCTTTATTTGTAGTTGTGACTTCTAAGCTACCGCTCCCAACATTGAGATTCGTTTTAGGCCTAATGGGGCTTGGCTTTTCTGCACTAGTTGCCACAAACGCCTTCTGAGTTGTTGTGGAAAATTCCATTTTACCACAGTGCCTCAAGTTGTCTTGATATTTGATTGCAAGTGGACGTTGTGCTTGTGCTATTGGTTGAAAGTCACTTTTACTCGTCGTTTCTTGTTGAAAAGGAATGTCACTTCTTACATACTTCAAATTAGGTTTCATACTCTTCATTTTTTCCGACGTTACTGCTCCGTAAGTTTCTTGGTTCGTTGTTTGTCCACTGAAACTACCACCAACTTTGGTACCTGTATCCGGCCGCTTTCCACGGACTTTGTCGACTTTCTTCTCTGAAAATTCGTTTTTTGAAGTCGTACCAAATTCCATTTGACCTTCAGATTTTAGATTTTCTTGTGGTATTTTAGCCTCTGGTCGGTCAACTTTGTTCCAAGAACCATAGGCTGTTCTTGTAGTTGTTTCTGTTGACATAATGCCTGGTTCCGTAGTGATATTACCTTGAGGTCGAATAGCCTGAACCTTTTCACCTTGCGAACCACGAAAGATGTCCTTACTGGTGGTAGAAAAATGATGCTCTCCTGTTATCTGAGTGTTTGTCTTTGGTATTATTGCTTTCGGCCTTTCTGCTTGACCACCAGAAAAATCGGTTTTGTTTGTTGTTGTGAAATCCATAGTTCCTGATTGCTTTAAGTTATCAGAATATCTTATCGGTAAAGCCCCACGCATTGGTGAACCAGCGGTATACTTGAGGGCTAATAACGCTAAACTTCGGACTCCCACTCGTAATTGGCACAGTGCATAGTCCATTTGTAGCTTTGTACTTGAACCAATACTCGTTTATCAGTTTGTTAATATACTATATTCTAAATAACTATTTCTTAACTAACTTTTTTAAAGAATAGTCAGCTTAAAAGTTTGGTTAATTACTATGAATACATATCTTGTATTAAAATCACTCGAGTACGGTGTCCGTTTTAAAAAGATTCCTCGGTGACTCTTTTTCACGTAATTTATTGGGTAATAACTTGAGATTTCAAGTTAAAATAAATATTTGAAGTAAGCTACAAACTTCAGGTTTCACAAAATGATTTTAAGATTTTTTTATAAATACTTACTTTGCTGGATTTTTTTTTTGCATTTTGAAGAACAAAATTAGATAATTTTCCAACAATATGGCTTTTACGATAACACTTCACTATGTGTTATACAGCATATGCAATGCTCAGGCATGGACTGCAGGCAGATAGAAATGATGTCCACCAACTTCTTGCCCAAAGATATATTTGTTCTCCAGTTCCGAAACGGGACAGTGATTTTGTGGCAAACCCCTCATTTCCTTCAAATTATTTCCATAAATTGTTGTTTCCAAAGCACCGTCTTTACTGAAAATCTGGTGACTTGTGGGATTGTTTAGTTTTGCCTTATCCGTTTTCGTAGCATTTGAAAGAGATGTGAAAGCAGTATTGGATGTGGTGATACCTTCCATCTTTCCATCAAACTCCACCCTGCCATTTTTCTTTTTTACTGGAAGAATATTCCCATAATTATTATCACTGCTTCCAGATTTGACTTCCTTTCGGGGGAAATTGGCTCCGTGTTTATTCATTTGTTTTGACTTTACCAACTTACTAGAGTCAAAGTTATTGTTACGAGAGGATGATCTAGGCCTTAAAGCTTTTGCGTTTTCCATGACGTGTTCAGTGTAAGAAGCTTGTGAAGTCGTCTTGAATTCCATTTTTCCAGATTGTTTGAGATTCTCGGGATGTTTAATGGGTGCAGGTTTTTCTACCTTCCATGCCTGATACGAAGTATTCGTTGTAGTTTTATATGCTTGTTGTGGTTTTTTGGTCTTTACTTTTTCCTTTGCCTCACCTTTTTCTACCGATGATATTTTCAGATTCATATCATCCGAAAATCGTGTATTTGTGTTTGGTCTTTCATCTGGAAAACCTTCACTTAACTCTTTTGAAAACTCTGTACAAGTGGAAGTGTTAAAACCTGTTGCTCCATTTTGCTTAAGATTATCCAGTGCATCTATTGCTTGCGGTCTTTCTTGATAATCATCTTTTGTGGTGACGATGGGTTTATTACTCCCAGAACCTTTACGACTTCTTTCTGATTCTTCACGTACATGCTTTACAGTTTCGTGTACGTTTTCTGAACGGTAAGATATGTTTTTTCCAACTTTCAGATTATCTGCATGTTTAATTGGTTTAGGGCGTTGTGCTCCCTCCCACCTCTGGTAGAGGAGCTATAAACGA